CCCCCCCCCAAAACAATCTCATGTAAATGTAAAGACCAGCTGCTGATTTTCTAACCGCGACTTAAAATATCAGCAGCAACAAACACAGGAAGTGTGTCAAAGGGAAGAAATGCTCGACCTTTATCTGCTGTGTGATTTAAAATATCCAGAATATAAAGAGCGGAGCGTATAGGAGGGTGAAAGCTGTTTGTGTTATGCAAATAGAATGATATTGTGTTTTATGACTTGATATAAACATGAGGTCTTCAGTTTAGAAAGTATGCCCCTCAAACAGACAATAAATCAATCATTATAATTAAAATGCAAATAATAGGAAAAAGAGCTTTTCAAAACAAAGGCCTGAAAGCTGCTGAAACAGTCGAACTGCACAGTCAGGTGATCCTGTTTTATTTCTATTGTCACATTCAGTCACATGATCCATTGATTATATAGAAAACTTTGTTTAGAGTCGCTCCATTTGGATGATTTATGTTATAAAACTTCATTATGAAGCAGTTTCTTCATCGTGTTTAATCATAAGTAAAACTATCACCTGACGCCTCCATTGTCATTGTCAAATTTCAGATAAGGAAAATTTAGCGTTTGTATGTGTTTTTAATCCATTGACTTTATTATTGTTTTAATATTTTCTGTTAATTCTCTGTTTTTCTCTCATGTTTATTTTTATATTCTTTTATTTTCATTTGAAGTACATTTTGCACCCCGTGTTTATTTATAGAACAAAACGCTGAATGTGTTTGCATGTTACACTGCAATGTGAAAACCTTTTGTTCTATCTGACACCTCTTAGTGGGACATATTCAAATCTCTTTCACTCTGAGGAGGACAAGGAAAAGTGTGTGGTGAGTTATAATTTGCATCTAGATCCTGATGCTCTGAACCAAATATTCACACTTTTGCTTGAGCTGAGCCTTGATGACGTAAGGAGCCTGTAAGTTCTCCAGCTGAGATTCTTCAAACCCTGCAGAGTCAAACTCTCAGGCCGATAACAGCGACGTCTAAAGGTCGCGTCTGAGTCTCATCTGAATCCATGTCAGTATCTGACGGCTGGAAAAAAAAATCTGCCTTGTGTGAGGATTTTGTAGATTTGTATGAAGCAAGCCGTCTGCTGTGAACATTGACGGGTGAGTTGATCTTTGGTTTTTGAAATGACACACAAGCAAGAGGCAGTGATTGACCTTCGCAGAGCCCCAGAGTTAATGAGAGAGAAGTGTCCTCATGCAAACGGACGGTTTTCTTGGATCGCCTTCTCTCAGGGTGTGTGTGAGAGTGTGAGAGAGAGAGAGAGAGAGAGAGGGGAGAGTAAGGTTTAAATCTGAAGAACATGGATGATCTCACCCGGGAGCAATGTGAGTTGCTACATCCTCCCTGGCTGCAGAGCTTCCTCTGGAATAACAGTCTCCATTCTCCTCTCACACAGATTTCAATCAGACAATATCTCTAAGTTATTACCAGCGACAGCGTCTCTGTGGAGTTCGAATCCAAAAACTTAAAGTTGTCTCGTTTAAAAGTCTGAATCTCTAATTTGTTGCACTAATTATCGTGGAAATTTACTCATTTAATGTAAAGAAAGTAGTTTGTTTACACAGCAAGCATTTATCTACAGTTCAGGCTTTTTTGAGATAAGAAAAGAAAAAAAAAAAAGATGTTTAATTCTCTTTTAGCCATTTAACTTACAGTATCTGTCCATTCTAAAATTAACATGCTTTAAAAGATTTAATCATGACGTAAACAAACAGAGCCAGACCGAGCACAGACACAAAACTTGTCCTGTTTTAAAGTTGCACTTGATATAATGACATTTTACCAATTTGAGATAAAGAAAATAGGTTGTTTACACAGCAAGCATGGGAATCAGACGTACACGACATAATCAGACAGTTGCCTGAATCGATGGACTGTGGAAAAGCTAAATAATGAGATAACTGTATGTTCTCTTGATGTCTGCTTCTCTGAACGGTGGGGTTGCATTGGGGGTCCTGAACCCATGACCTTAGAGTTACTGAAATACATCTGTACACAAAGCAAGTTATAATCCACCATGACTGCAGGTAGATGAAGCAAGAAGTAAACCTGAGATTTGATGACTAAAAATACACATTTCCTACTTCCTCACGCACTGAAACACATCTGCTGGATATATGAACATTTGTTTAAGATGAGATGTGAACATGTGTTTTCTTACCCATGGTTTCCAGTTGTGCTGCAGCCCTGGGACTGGATCTGCCTCAGGATCCAGACATCACCCTCTCTCTCTCTCTCTCCCTCTCTCCTCTCTGCATCCCATCAACTGGACCGGTTCAACCTCTGCGGATCACAGGGAGTGTCTCCCTCCCTCACAGCGGAATGTGGAAAAGCAGCCAGCAGTCACTCTTAATGTGTGTGTGAGTGTGAGGAGGTGTGTGAGTGTGAGGAGGTGTGTGAGTGTGAGGAGGTGTGTGAGTGTGAGTGTGTGTGTGTGTGTGTGTGTGTGTGTGAGTGTGAGGAGGTGTGTGAGTGTGAGGAGGTGTGTGAGTGTGAGTGTGAGGAGGTGTGTGTTGGTCCACTCGCAGTTAAAGTGAGTTTACCTGCAGCACACACACTCAGACTCGATCCACTCTCTGCAAAGTTGATCTCAGCTGAAGTAGCCATGTGATGACAGAGCGCCCCCTTGTGGCTGAAATAACCCTGAGACTCACCTGAAACCTCTGAGTTGTGTCATTGTGCAGCCTCTGGTTCCTATTTGATCAAATATAACATACAAATGTTCATATTTCCAAGATGGACGAGATTAAATAACAAATTCATCAAACAAATAAAATAAAAGTGAAACTAAAGCAAATCTGAAAAAATGGTTGATCGTCTTCGGGAACATGTAGAAAAACCTCCTGACACAACTTATATCCTCGTCTGCAACGTGAGGAATTCAATAAAAAGTTTCAAAAGTAGTTTGTCACAACCTTGACTTTAAACTTAAATTAAATTCTTAAATTCTTATCGGTGAACTTTTGTGAAAAATGAACCAATCCCACGATCATGAGGCAAATACACGTGTGATTTATGAAGTGATCGTGACCTTCGACCTTTGGCTAATTAGAATATAATTTGTTCATCATTGAGGCTTTTGTTAAACTCTGGTTGTTGACTTGAGTTTAAACACACGGCCAATAGGTGGCAGTATTAACCACTGTGCAATCAATGTGCTCAAAAACTATTGAACAATTGAAATCATTAAATCCATCACTTCATCCTTTGTCAGCTAAAATATCTTAATTATTAAATTTCAATCACGTTCAATGCAAGAATGTCATATTCTCTGTCCGCAGCTCTAGTTTTGTATCTTTGTTTTTTAGATGTCATCTTGAAAACTACAGTTTTTTATCATTGTGTGAAAATTAGCTCCTAATCAAGACAATAAATGGAACTTTAATCAATTATCAGAATAAGCGTTAAAATAAAAGTAAAACCAAACTCATGTCTGACATCCTACCAACAACAGAAAATGTACAAACGATTTTTATTGATATAAAAGACAGACTTTTTTTTTTTTTATACAGTCTACACACTGTTCAACAACAATAATAAGAAATCTCTGACTTGCTACAAAATCAGTGTAAACATTTTCTGGTTGGTCATTTTCTGACGAGACAAAAACAAGAGTGCAGAGAACTGACTGTAAACAACGCACACCTCCCTCCATGGATACAACACTGAGAGAAACTGTACAACAAACACGGAAAGACACCGAAGAGGAAAAATATAAAACTGATTATGTTTCTGGCACGATTGTTGTTATAGGTTACACATGTTTAAACGTACTTGTTGTCACGTCTCAGGACAGAGGGACTTTTTGAGAGTGACATAAATATTTTAGTGCTGATTTCAAGTCGTACACTGACCCTCTGTGCCACAGGCGGAGTATAAGGTTTATGCAGCATGAACATTCATTCAAACACTTGGGGGCAGCACTGCTTCAGTTTACTGTTCGATCCCCAGTTTCCTCCGAGCGGCTGCTTTACGGGGAACTCTCACTAAAGCAGCAGCTGGAGGTTTTCTCACTTCACTAGATTGACATTTTGGGAAATACGACAATAATCACATCATATAATCCACCTGTCAAATAATAAACTGATATTTTTTTCACTTCTCCTTTACAATACAATGCAAAGATTTATAGTTGCTGGTACTTTTGTTTGGTGCGGAGAAGCTGTTTCCCCTCTAATCCAACCTGCTAGCGGTTCATCGGCTGTGGGTCAGCAGACAAAAAGGGTCGTCCACCTACCGGAGGGTCAGTGGTTCGATCCCTGTCCGTATTCCGAGGGGCAAGGGTGAAGTATTGAACTGCTCCTATGGCTGCATGATGTGGTGAAATAAGAAGCTGAGCTCTATGAACGTGTGTGTGCAAATTAATATATTTCCCCAAAATGTCGAACTATTCCCTTAAAGTCTTTGACTTCCACATGCAACACATGACATCATACTTTTAAGGAACGTGACATTTAAGATGAAGCTTCCTTCCGCCACTCGTCACACTTTGTATTCAGTGCGTCTGTGAGTCGTGAGCACAGACTTTATATAAAGATGGACGACGGGCCGCGTCCCATAAGTGAAGCCGAGGCGTCTCGGTCACCCCCTGGAGGCTGGCTGCAGTATATAAACCCTGCCTCCTCCATGTAAGTGGATGGGACATGGGACAAACAAAAGCGTCACAATAGGCATCAAACACGTTTTTCTCAAAGATGGTTTCTGTCACCCTCCCCCTCCCTTTGTCCAGTCTGGGCTACTGTAAAAAAAAAAACATGGCAGCCTCCGTAGAGAGGACCTGCTCCAGATGTAGATATAAAGATTCTAAAGTAAAGAAAACAACAATTTGCACAATTTAGATTTAGAATTTTAGATTATTCTCTGCCAATAGATTCTTTTCACCAAGATCTTACATACTGGACCTTTAATTAGTTATTTGATGCTATAAAAACAGGGGAGACATCATGACTGACAGCTGAGACTGACCCTGATACTGCGGCTCCACTCCTGATTACAACTGCTCAGACTGTGGCTCCGTAATTTTCTGGCTTCCTTTCTCGACAGTGGGAGAGAGTCATTCATCTTTATGTACGCTCTCTGGTTGTGAGCAGTTGAGCCAAAAGTGTTATTGTTTTTATTTCAACTTGCTCTAATGAAACTAAATAGAGAAAAGACTAAAAACTGAGTAGGATCGTTGAGCAGGATGTTGAACTAAGTTGTGTTAACAGACGTATTTACTGACTTCAGGTTGCATTATATGAGTCCACTCTGCTCATCGAATATCATTTTACCATTTCCCTTGAGTCAAAGCTGCTGATGAGGCAGAATCGACCTCGCTGCTCAGAACCAGCTGCCCGGCTTCCAAAAGTCCAAACTGATAAATGAAGCTCGTTCTATCCAAATCACAAATGCTATGGTCATCTCTGAATAAAAAAGTCACAGCTATTTACATCATTCTTTGCCCAGATTTCGATGATTTTTCCCGCTCAGCTCTGCAGCTCATACAGTTTGTGTTTGTACCATTAAAGCTTCTTCTTTCAGTCTTTGCAGCGTATCGGGGATGCGATTGTCCGTCACACATCGTTCTCGCTGCATCTTGTGCTTGGGAAAACAAAAAGCATAAAGACTCTGTCTCATGTGGTTCCGGGCGGCCATCACGAGTCCAGGTAGATGGAGTAGATCTGATTGAGGCAGCGGTCGACGCCTCCCGCCTGGAACAGGAAGCTGTCGTCCGGGCAGGGAGACATGGAGTAGCCGCCGCCCGCCTGGCCCTGCAGGTCCTGCAACAAGTCGAACCCTGAGAGGAGCAAGACAGGAGCGTTTTTATTTTCCCAGCAGCTCATTGGTCTTCATGTCAGTCTGCAGATACTTTAATAATCATTGTTTAAAGGGCTCAGTGGAAGTTAACTCGTTTTAATGATGTTCCCGTAACATTTGTCTCATCCTGATCCCACTTCCTGTACCTGGACTTTACATATCAGCTGATACAGAGTACAGATATAAGGTATTCTAACAGCTGAGTACTACTCACCATGAAACAAATACACGTAGAGAAAGTATTTTATTATCTGGTTTGACAGTCAGAACAAAAAAATGACTTCTTTTTAAATTTCTCCAAACTGGAGCCGAATGACGTCATTGTTTTTTTACTTGTGGGACCCTCCAGCATGAAATATGTGATATACATATAACACTGAGGTTTTCTCTGGTAAATACTTCACTATTAGAAATCACCTCTTTCTTGCTGCTCTAAAAACAGCAGAGAAGATGATTTCTAGGAAAAGAAAATTACAGTTTAATTTGGGTGGAACTAATATACTCTGAAGACTTTATATTGGATCGGTTCACAGATTCCTGTCTTTTTGCCTCTGCTGTGTTTCTGCCTCTCGACGCAGCCCAGGGGTTAAAGATATTTGCTCTTCACTCCCATCATGTTACAACGTCTGGGGAAGCGGTGACGTCGGAGCTTGGACATCAAACTGTGTGGTCTGTTGCTGCGATAAACATTTGGTTGTCTGACTGAAATGTTGTTTAAATGTGAGGATATCACATGTTCTCTTTGTGTGCTCTTCTGGTTGATGCAGGTTTACCTGTGGAGTGACAGGTGGAGGAGTTTGTGAAGTAACTGTTATGTTCAAATCCTCCGTCGTTGACCGGTTGAACCACCTTTCCCCCTTCGTACAGACAACCTTGGAGAACCACAGGAAGAAACGACAGCGAATAAGAAAGAACCACATCAAACCCTGGTCGTGTTTATCACATTGACTCCACGACGCTGACCGTACCTTGCTGCTGTGACATGACCTGCTGCTGGTGGCTGTAGGGTTTCTGGTAACCCTGCAGCCGGACGTCCGCTCTGTCTGATGAAGAGCTCGCTGGGCTGACGTCAGCGGACATGAACAACGATGTCGGTCTGTTCCTGTTGGCCACGAAATACCAGGAATCTGAATTACTCAGAGACATTAACGTTACGTGAGTGAAAAAAGTTAAAGAGAGTTCCTGATACGTGACTGACTGAGCCCAGCTGCATTTTTATAATAGTTCCTTCGCTTTGTACATTCTGCCAGTTGGCTGCAGCTCATCTTCTGTTAAACTGTTTGTGTCACAGAGAGAAGAAACACAATGGTGTTTCTTTTCGTCTTCATTAACTTCACCAAAGGATTTACAAACCAAGAGAGCGCCCGTGATGTCATACAAATTAAAGTCATGAATACATTTTAAATTAAATACACAGTGTGCCACAAATTAAAGAAGGGATTTTTAAAAAATGATTTTGGGTTCAAGTCAAACGGGTTATGTTTTCATCTGCGTTTGTTTGTTAGTCAGCAGGATTACGCAAAAACTACCGGACGGAGACGGTGAAAGAATGTGCAATAGGTCAGGAAAGATCCCAATAAAGTTTGGAGCGGATTCTGGATCATGAGGCGGATGAAGGAATTATTTTTCTCTTACTTTAACATCGTCAGAGGGTCTTGATAAAAAAAAAGATCAGGCAGGTTAAGGGGTCGGATATTTATGAGTGTGAGCAAATTGGTCTGGATCAAGTGAATCTAAATGTGGTTTCATGAGGGGAATGTCGAAAGAGGTTCTAGTTTAACCTTTAACCCAAAACTCTGATCAAATCAAACACAGACCAAGTGTTTCTCAGCAGTTTTTAGTAGATAAACATTATCCGTAATTGTGGCACCAGCTGTTGTCAAACACGACCATGTAAATACTTAACATCGTGTCCAAACAGTACAGTTTATATAAGTAAGTGTTTCCACCTCAGGGGGGGGTAATGTAGGCGGTCTTTGTGCCGAGCTGTATCCAACGCTACGCTGCAAGAATGTGCTGACTGTGCACAAACACTCTGACTCAACATGGAAACCAGTGAGTCAGTGGAGCCAAGTTCCACGAGAAGAAAGAGAAGCGGTCGAATCTCTCTCCGAGGAGATATGCAGCTGAAACCCCCAGTATGGTATTCGAGCCCCCTCCTCCTCCTCCTCCTTCAAAGCGCTCGCTCTCGTTTCATACGGCCTGAGAACCCTCCTGGATGATGTGCTGCAGCATATTGGTCCCCCGAGAGCCAAATGGCCTTGGTTTCTACTGGAATAGTTTCAGGGGGCTTCATAAACAAGCCAGGCCTTGTCAGAGATACTGATGGCTGCTGGCTCCGACGCCTTCTATACATGCATCCGACCAGCCGTAAAAAAAAAGAAAAAAGAAAACGATTGGAGATTTCTTTACATATCTATCATTTGTCATCCCCAGGTCTCTTTATTACCCATTTCCCATGTCAAATGCTATTACATTTAATTTAACAGTCTTTCAGTGGAGATGCACATTAAAAGCCAAAATTAATCAGGAGGACTTTTTGAAACCCAAACTGATATAAGTTACAGATGTCTGTGGCTTCCCAAGGTAATAAAACCCAGGCTTTGTATAGGATTATGTAAACAAATGGGCTTTGATATACTACGACTGTGGAAATGAATGTGCTGCGAGCCCCAAGAATTCACCGCTGCTCTTGATTCCCCTCAGCGGCCCCCTGAACCAGCAGCGCTGACCTTAACTATAAACAACCGGCTGCTCCACGGCTTACATTCTTGCGACGTTGCAACAACATAGCTGAGATGTCTGAGTCGTGCCGTGCGTGGCCCTGCTGGGTCGATCTGTCGCTCTGTGGCCCCGTGTGCCCAAAACCTCTGAGACGCATGAGCTCAACAGAGAGGCCTGCACGTCTGGAGCAGCGGCTGTTAGCTCGACCTCAGGAAACGGTTTCTCTGATCACGTTTTACCAACTAAACCCCTGCATCACTCACTTTTTTTTTTTTTTTCCCTCTCTGACTAACCACAGCCAGCTGCCTTCCTTACATCAGGAATGAGCGGAATCCTGCGTGCGGAATTTAAGATCTTTTGTTTATATGCACTTTATAGCGTATTCAACCCTGCCTTAATCCACGGCTGCTTTTTAATAGCAGCGTACTTGTGCTGGATAACTGGAGGGGATGAGTAGGTTTACGAAAGGTGCCAGGTTGTGCATGCAAAACTGATCTGGTTCCAGTTTTGGCAGACGAGCAGCTGCTGACTGTAATGTAGATTTTACTGGATCACAGAGGATCACGCTGAATGAATGCGACACAGACAGAGATTTACTGGGATCTAACTTAGAGAGAGTAGTAAACTCAGAGCTGCAGTTAGTGCGGACATGTCAAACCTCTCAGCTAATCCTGCTTTTTGGATCCGGTGTCACTCTGAGCTCCTGCAAAGTAACGTCTCCTTCCCTTAAATTGTACAAAAGTGTTTCTGCGAGCGTCATCCTGGTTAGCGGGTCTGTATCTGATGAACGTGTCACTCAAAATGCTGATCCAGTTCTTCGCCTGCCGGCCGCAAAACACAAACGTTGCACATCACAAATACTTGCTGACGGACAAGCCTGGTCGCGGGCCTCCGAATCCCTCCGGTATTAAGTAATTAAAAGAAGTCAACACGCGTCGTCTCAGCCAGAGAAAACACGCGCCTGCCTATGAGGTCAGAGCTCGATGTCGGCCGCGCTGCGGAGCAAAGATAATTTACTTTCACGTGTTTAATGTCTCGCTAAGTCATTTGGGGGAAAAACAAGTGCTTGTCTGGTATTGGCTTTGGCAGGTCGACATGTACTGTGGGCACCAGCGGGATCCTATGACATCCTCAGCCGCTAAGAACAGACAGTGGACAGATTGTGAATAGTTTCGTGAAAGGCAACTCAAATTTTATGAAATTTGTACCTGACCATCAAATTAAAGGACTTTTCTTTTTTTTTTTAAATATAGTTTTGTTTGGTGAACTTTAATAAAACTTTTTATTAAGTTAGTTTTACGCCTAAACAAGATCCTCTCAAGTCAAGACATCCAGGTGTATTACTGCTGGAGGTGGTATTTATATACAGTACGTATACAGTTTTCTCACTGTTAAGTACTAAATTATCGACTGTGTTTTAGGTTTTATGGAGTAACAATATTTTACAGTTTTATTACGGACATGACATCAGCTTTTTTGGGAGATTATCAGAGAGAGAGAGAAACAAAAAGGACAAAACTACTGAACACATTAACATACTGAATGAATTTAAAGCTAAACATGTGCATTTGCAATTTCTTTAACTTGCAGTATTTTAAATTGACATTTCTTATTGCTTTTAAACTTTAACATAATCCAGAAGTATTTTCAAGATTCATCAAGATGCACAGATTTTAAAATCAGATTCAAACTAAACACCAAAATACCTTTGGAGGATTTTCAAGGCTCGCTTCGAGCTCCGATCAGATACACACAGTTTCATTAAATGTACAATTAGTTGGTTTACAAAAAAAGAGGGAAAACTGGACAACATCCCGCTCATCTCATCAGTGGACGGAGATGACAAAACGCAGTTGCCTGCTCTTTAAATTTTCAAGGTCATGGACCTCGTGCGAGTAATTTTTCATGGATGGTTCTTGATTTCAGAAGATTATATGTCAACTCTTAAGCCTGCAAAAATCAAGTCTTTACACTACGTAGACATTGTGCTATGTCTTTGTCAACGTTCCATTTTTAAGGTCAATAATGAGCCTTCAGGTTCATCCTTTAACCGGTTTGAATTTGTTCTGGGAGAAAAAAGAAAACCTCATCTTATCACCTCTGCCAAACCTAAAACCCGCTTGGACGTGCTGGACAATTACACCAGAAAATATGTGCATTATATGTGAAGATTTTATATCATTTATTTAGCCACAAAAATGTTATCTTGGCCCTTATCAACACTCTTTTATTGGACACGCTGCCTTTGTTGTTACTGTGGAGACTATAAAAGTTAGTTTACAGGCAAACCTTCAATGACCAATGATTTGAGGCCATATCGTCCACAAACTGCTGCCCTGGAGGCTTTCAGCTGAATCTTTTTAGTCTCACTTCTACTTTTGTACTTGGCAGACACGATTTGTCTCAGTTTACAGGACACATAAGTTCTATGGCCTCCAACTACCCAATCAGTGCAACCACAAAGCCATAACTCCATCTCTGGTGATAATGTCCCTGGTTTATTCAAGAATGCATAAGCTCACATCTCTCCCCTTGTTTCAGGGCATGTGATTTCCAGACAAGAGGAGAAGTGAGATCTGCAGAGTCCCAACAAAACAGGGTTTTTATAATGTCCACGTACTTGAGGTTGAAACAAGATTTTGAGGTTTCGACATCAAGCACACGGCACATAAATACTTTAACACATGCCAGCGTATAGTCAAATTAGTACATTTAATAAATAGAGAAATAGAGCAACATATTTTAGGGGTGAATACCTGAAATTGTACAAACTCGTGCCAAGAGGAGCAGAAACCTGCGGTCGGTTTAATCTATTTTTATCTTTGGTCGAAAAATAGCGCGAATGAAAACTGCCAGATGCAAACAAAATCCCATTCAGCTCCATTGTATTGGGTTGGCAGCAGAAGTCCCAGCGGCAGATAAGTCTGGATCCTGCCAGACACCACTGAGGGTAAGCGGGTTTGCCTCTGGGTACATCATTAAATATCATTAAAGTCCTCTGCTTTCCAAGAAATAAAAGCCATATAATCTCAAAAGGCAGGACAGTGAGAAAATACAATATGAGATTTTATTTTATTTTTATGTATATTCTTTTTCAACAGCTGCATCTCATGATTTAAAAAAAATTGATTTCTCTTCACTTCGCAAAACCCTGGGACGTGAATTCAAAATGGGAAAAGCAAACGAGGAAATCTGCCTCTCCTGTTAAAACTACTGCCCATGACAGTTTCCAGGAGCGAGCGTGTGTAACTGCAGGGCGACGACGAGGGAGCTCAAATGTTTACTTTGAATAAATACAGAATGGACTGTGTGGATGCAGACACACACTCACCCCTCTCTCATGCTTCCTGGGCTTGTTAGCGATGATATCGGGCTGTTGGTGTCAAAGTTTCCCTCCAGGCCTTGATACCTGGAGCAGGTGTCTGCGGACGGAGGGAGGAACTCTGAATTCCCCCTGCTGTGGGCGGAGCTGCTGTTTGAGTAAACACCTGAAACAGAGACGTTAAAGGATCATTTCACTGAAAATAAACGCACCAACGCGGGGGAGATATGAGAAGATCACAGGTTGCAGCAAAACACATCAGAATGTTAGAAACTTAATAGGCCTTTACTGAAGTACTGTATTTTATTCAGGAACTTGAGTATTTTTTGTGAACAGTGTACTTCTACTGCACTGCATTTCATAAAGAAGGCTGTAGTTCCTGACGCACAACACACTGTGGAGGAGGAAGATCAGGGGTTTAGATCTTTAATTCATATTTTAGTTAATGTCTTGTTTGTGTAATGTTTAATTATGTCTCTTGGAATTTTTTGAAAACGTTTCATTACAGCTCTCTCTCTCTCTCTCTCTCTCTCTACAGCTGGAGTAAAGTTTTAAAATGAAAATAAGTTTTTAAAGATACTGAATTTTAAAGAAATGACCTCAAATATAACAACAATTGCATTTTTGTGGAGACGTGAATCGTTTCACCGCTGAAACAAACTGGCTGAACGTGGTAGGAAGAAACAGATGAACAGGTCAAACCTCGAGGACGACACAGTTGCCGCTCCTTGAGAAGAAGGAGCGAGCTAAAGTTTTCAGAATCACCTTTAAATCCACACGGGGAGGGTTTGATACTGGGAGTCGTAGTTTTGTAAGTGGTGTGTTTATTTAGTTTTAACACATATACCCTTCAGCAGGGATTTCAACACTTGGCTTTGACTTTGAGTTTCAGGGCAGCTGACGATGAAAGGACGCGTCACCGTGCGTCCAACATACGTCCACTCACAGGTACACACGTGCAAACTTTGTTCTGCTCTAACATTTGGTTGTTTCTGATAAGGACAAATTCCTCTCGGGACACTTTGAAAATGAAACACTGACATGCTTGTTTCACTCTGGATAAACATAGCTTGTAGTGCGTCGTTTGAGGCTTTTCCCTCTCCGTCTTCTGGGTAAAACTGTGAGCAGTCTGAAGTAATACACATGGACAGCTCTGTTGGACACTCTGTGCTCTGCTCTGCCAACTGAGCCTCAGTGTACCTGACAGCTTCTTGATCCCGGTTCAGCCATTGAATCGGGAAAGAAAAAAGAGCTTGGCTGGAAAAGCGCTTTGGAGAAGCTGAAGGACAAGCGGGGAGAGGGCCAACCCGCCCGCAGTCAGTGCCCGGTAATTGGACAAGGTAAACACTGGCATGATGAGGTATCATCGAAGGAATGGAAGAGGGGGAGGGAAAGGAGCAAGTGAGGCCATGGGAGAGAATGAAAGAGACAGCTTCACGGCCCAGGTGTTCAACCAATTACACCTTTCCCTTGTTTCTCTAGTTTCCAGAGGGGGAGGCAGGTTTCCATTGTTTCTGCTACTGTTTCATGTGTGCATACCTGTGAAGTCATCTAATCCCGGCAGAGCGGAGCCGTTCCCTTGGTGGGAGGAGCCGTGGAGATGCTGCCGCGCCAGGCAATCGCTCAAAATGTCCGAATCCAGCATCGTGTGAACCTGTCGATAGGACAGAATACAGATGTTCATGAGAAAAGGTGCGCGGTACATTTAGTCTCAAGTTTCATGTTGGTGAACATGTGCATTTGGTTGCCTGCATGTAGGGATGAAAATAATTACGTTAAAGCTGCAGCTTAACTGCCTTCCAATTGTTTTGGTTTTTTTTGTTGGCCAAACATCTATGAGCTTAAATTTGAAAGTGCTCTCTCTCTCTCTTTTGATTACATACAGTAGATCAATTGAAAACACAGGGAGTTTTCCGCAGGCCGTTTTCTACTGTTCATTTTTCAAAACAGAAAAAAAAAGAAAGAGATGATGCTTACACCAGATGCCTGGTTCTTGTTTTGTCTTGTGTTCCAGCTTCTTGAAGTACAAAATCCAAAAATCTTGTTAGGCAATCTTATTCCAAAATGTTCTAACAAAGACAATTTACTTTATTATCCAGCGCTAACAGAGCATCCCCGAGGACTTTCCAAAACAATTTATCGACAGCTCCAGGATTCAGAAGAAGCTTGTGAAGGACACCCAAGAACCACAAAAAGACTTATGAATAATCTGCGAAAAATGTTTATTCGAACCAGTGTTTATGCAGATACAAACTTCAATAGCTGTGACACATCGGCTCCAAGAAATGTATAACCGTAAGGAGTTTATGAAGTGCATGTTTAATATTTCAAAGGCCTATTTAGCCCCACAGCAGCGCGGGGCGTGTTCGCCATGTCACAACTCACAGGCACACGTGGTTCTGCTTAAACCAAACAAGGCATGGGAGTACACACAAAGCCCCTGTGTCACTCACGGTCCATAGAAAACAAACAAGGGCCAGATAACACTGAACAATGGGCTCCCTATTCTGACTTCCAGGGAGTGTGTGTAATACTTTGTTTTGTTGTATTTTATCCTACTGAATCACAAACATGCTTAAACGCTCTCCTCATCCTCCTCCTTCTCCTCCTCCTCCTCCTCCTGCTCCTGCTGCTGCCGCCATTCTCCATCCAGTCATTCAAGGAGACACAGCATCTTACCCGTAACCACCGTCCTCGGAGAAATCCTTTCTCTACAATACAGTTCATTGTAAATGAATTGAGCTTCTCCAGACTCATCGACCACTCAGAGCTCATTCACCGGATCACACAGACATTCAAACAGCACTTCTGAACGCCTCTTCTATCACACACCATTCACGCCCTGCAGTGTGGGTCATAAACCCGTACCCCTCCATGTTAGTAGACGGGACACGGACATAAATAAAAGATGTTTTTTGTCGTTTCAGTTAGTTCTTATCGGACTTAAGTGCTTATTTTTCCAGGAAGTTTGGTTTTGATGAGTTATTTGATGCTGTAAAAATCGACTCGTGAGGTATCGGTGGAACCTCGTTACAGCAGCGTCATCCCCCGATCGCTCTACTGAGAAGACTCTGGCTCCAAATGAGGCACGAGAGGGCAGCGCTTTAATCTGGAATATTTGGCTCCATCTCTGGATAGTGGGAGGAAGTGAGGACATGTTGTCCATCTTTACTTACAGTCGATGGTATAACTGTCCAATAAAAGCTTAAAAAGATGCTTAGAGATAAAATAGATTGATTAAAAATCAGTTTTTCGCGTTTTACAATAACTGACTGCTGCCTGCTGCTGTTCTGCCACATCTCATCTAACGTAAACACAGGTTAAGCTAAATGTTCAGTGTGTAAAAACAGAACTGCTGTCATACCTTGACCTCCCTCTCCTGAGGCCCTTTGGCAGAGTGAGCTTTGACGTGTTTCCGTAGCGAGCTGGGGTCGGTGTAGCGCTTGGTGCAGCCCGGGATCTGACAGGCGTACGGCTTCTGTGGAGGAATGAGCCACAACAAGGAGAGGTGAGAGAAGACAGAAACAAAGGAGATGGAAATATAATAAAAATCAAAAAGCTTCATCCTCCGTGAAGAATATCGAGTTGTTCTGCTGTGATACGTGTTTCAGTGTTCAAGGCAGCTGCGCTCCAGCTACCAGTGAGGTGCGCTGGTGCTTTGGCCGCAAAGAGAAACAGGCAAAGACCACGACTGGGTCTACTTCTGTACTTATGTTAGTGATTTACTGCATTCCTCATTTAAGCCCTAATACTGACGGACTGAGACCTCTAGAGAACGAGTTTGACAAGATGAAATATTCCACAAGGCAACAAAATAAACCCAGAAACACCAAACACATAAATCTTAATTTAAGGTTTTAGGATTAAATGTTTATAAAGTGGTACAAGCTGAATCGGCTAAACTGAGCAATATGCTTCGTTACATCTTCTTTACTTCCATTACAAAAGTAATTCACACAATTTCCAGACTTTTCAAATCAGGTGACGCAGTTTGATTTAAAGACGTTGATACAGTCACATTGGATGAGGTCAAAACACAAAATATAAGTGTGACTACAAATAATAAAACATGTTTGGGTGATTTACACTCAGATGGAGTACAGGTGTAACACTATACGCAGTAATCCTGTGTTTTACAAGCAGAAACATGGAGGAGAAATACTGCAAATGAGGCTATCTGGTGAGACAAATGCAGTAACAGAGACGCAACGCAGATTTAACGCAACGTGATCCTCGAGCTAGAACCAAGTATATTTACCTTTCGTCCGCAGGCTTAAAGAGAGGAAGGGAGAGAGGAGGAGTGGTTCAGTGTTCAGCAGTAAATCAGTGCATTCATGAGGAAAACATTTAGAGACTGCATCATATTTAATGTGCACATTTATCTCTACCTGGAAACGCATGTGTGCAGTAGGAAGCGTCCCATGCAAAGAAGGCATTAGAGATATTTTAAACCCATTAATCTTGAAATGCAGTGAGAGAAAAGGCTGTTTTCTGTTACTGCTGCTTGTATTTCACAATTTTATCAAAGCTGTGAGTTTAGATGAGTTAACGAGCCCATTTCCATGAATCTAATTCCTCACAGATTTTCCCCATTTCATTACTGAGCCCTCAACCAGGTGGAGTGAATTAGGTTTTCATGAAAACACATGCACAGTATTTACTCGAGATCTCGGAGGTTTACGCACCGAGATCCGAACATCACATATAAAAAATAATGGTATAAGAGCCATGCAGCAGGTTTATGGATAATGTTTTGCAGAACGTTGCAGGACTAATGATCAGGAAACAACTCATCCATTTGCCGTTATACCACTGGCTCGACGATTCAAAGACGACTTTCTAAGACTTTCAAAAACAACATGAATCGTGACTTATAGTCATTAAGGAATTTACTCAAGGTAGATTTCAAAAGATGTTGCACGTGAGAGAGAGTCACGATGTGTGATCTCAGATAGCGTACAGATGTGGGCCACGTCAGGAAAAGATGCGGCACCTCTGGCCGAACAAAAAGAACGTGAGCCTCAAGTGATCCAGTTGTTAAAAAAGCAAATGTGGCTCAATTATCCCAAAACTAATTCGGGCAACCTCTGGCACCGTTGGCTGACATGCGGTATTGCTGTGGTTTACTCGCGGCCCAGATCTGGCAAACAGGAGCAGACCGGCCAAGTGCCACCGTTCCACACAGTATGTGGGCTGGATGACAGTGTGGCAGTGTGTGGGCCAAAACAAATTTGTGCTCAAGACATAAATAAAAAGAAATCCCTGTATTTAAGTGAATTTATGGAACATTTGAGAACCTCAAAATGTGTCGTCGTGTTAGTTTAAGTTTAAAAAGGCTAATAAATGAATGAACAAATGCAGGATTAATACAGAGAAAGTGTAAATGCTGAAGTGAAGCTGTCATGTGAGCTTCACCTTTGTTGTCTGCTGTGTCTCCCAGAGTCGGGACGTAACAAAGTACTGTTACTTTATTATTGTACATTTTTCATGTATCTGTACTCTCTACTCAACAGTTTGTATTACTCTTATGTTAAATGTACGTGCAGTTAATGATGTAGTAGAACATAGGGAATAGGCTGCACACGGAAAGTACTTTTACTTTTAATGCAACTACTTCTACTCTAGTAGTAACGTTGATGTGGTGCCTTCTCCACCACCGGTGTCTCCACTTCCTAATTTAAACATTTCACATTTCAGCCACATTAGTCCTCCGACATTGATCTTGCAACACATCCAGTGTTCCTCAACAGTGCCCAACTTTACATGCTGGCGAGAAAATTGGGAAATATCTTGTTCTTTCGAAACTATTTCTGAACAATATTCCCTGGGAGACCAACTCATTGCTCCCGGAGTCTAAACAGATTAACTCTCAATGAAGTGCTGAACCCGAGTCTGTCTTATCTTCGATGAAATTTAGAGCATTGCCAAAGAAAAGTGGTTTTTCCAGTTTTGTAAGATTAGGACATGAATATAAAGGTCCATGTGAGTCAAAATCATGCAAAAATGGAAATCCATAGAGCCGCAAGTCTGAAATAAATCTTCTCTTTATCGAACCAGTAAAGTTTCTGTCTTGTGCAAACGCCACATCTCAACGAATCCCACAGAAACTGCATGAGTGTTACCTGATTCTAATTCTAAAAACACATTTTCCTGCTCGAGGTTGACAAATCTCCCCTAACACACTGTTGCTCACAACATCACTTGCGTCGACACCAGTCCTCTCCAGACCGGTTGTTATGCTAAATTCAGGATTTACATTCAGACGATCCTCCGAACGGGGGGGAGACTGTAACTTTCCCCGTCTTGTTGTAATAACACCGCAGTGCAACGTACAGCTCCAGCTCATCCGTGTAATGAGAGATCTGATTTTTTGGATTACTGCTAAATCCTCAGCGCTTGTCAGCAGGAGTAAAAATAACTGTGGTTTATAGAATAAATTCACAGCAGTTATGCAGTTTCACAATCCTAAAGAATGTTGGGGCCGTATATCAGGCAATTAATCGCAGAGAGCGCAGGGAAGAGGGGAGCGGTGTCACTTTATATAAAGAAGATTTTATGCACGTTAAGAGTTTTGCACATGCCTCTTATTACCTGACCAATACTATATATCATGTAGAAGTATTTCACATGGCCATAAAGTGCAGTATTACTTGTTTAACACCTACAGGAGAGTAAGGTTTTATGTTTTACATCTATTTTCAGACGCGGTATATTTAACATTTCTCCATGTGTCTGTTAGAGTGATGAGTACTTTTATTCAGACATGTTCTATAGAATACGTGTTCAGTTACTTTGGTGATATAATTGATGTATTAGTGTTAAGACATCGTTTTTATTATCTTTTTTTATTGTCCATAAATTGTTAGTAGCCGCTGTATGTTTCTAAGTATGTTCTTCGTTTTTAACCTGTTTGATCTGTTTTAGTATGTTCTTTGTGCGTGAGAGCGTTATTTGTCCCTGCTTGCATTTATATCGGAAACGTATTTACTTCGCTGTTGTTGACCAGGGTTATCTGGCAGAGGAGCTGTTGTATCTCACTGGTACCCGGTTAAATAAAGGATGTACTGTACTGACCGTGTCCAGGTGGGTCCGCTGGTGTTTGGCCCGATCACTGGAGTTGCTGAAGGCCTTGAGGCAGCCGGGATGCTGGCAGATGTACGGTTTCTCTCCCGTGTGGCTCCTCAGGTGGATTTTCAGGTTCTCCAGACGGGAGAACGCCTTAGAACAGCCTTCAAACTGAAGACGGAAAGATAAAAAGACTTTACACATCGACCTGAGATGAATGAAATCGTGTTTCTGAGATTATTTCTACAAGAGTAAAACCCACGTGATTCATGCGCCTGCTGCAGAAACGTCTTTGTCCACCATTAAACATGCAGAACTCAACTGATATTTGATGCAGGTGATGATAAAAGACAGAGAAACAACCATGGACGATGCTTTGTTTTGTTTGGCTACGACTAAGAATTATAGAGAGGAGGAAACTTGTCACAATTTAGGTTATAGAATTATAAACTCACACACACACCTGCACACACACACACACACACACACACACACACACACACACACACACACAGAGTTGGACGAGGAGGCTAAACGCACTGTCGGCCATAAACGCTTTTTAACTTTACAGAAACTCCGCCTGTCACTTTCAATCTCAAACATTTCAAATTAACTTAATTTTCAAATCTGACGTTCAGGTCAGAGTTTGAAAGTAAATGTTTTCCAATGCTTGTTTTAAATCTCTTGCAGCACTAACAGGGAACCGGAGAAGGTTTGGACGATCACAGGAACGATTTTTCAATTTCATTTTCAATTTCACTCTCTGCTTAATTCCTACGCAGTCATGTAATATGATCTTTTATTTATTTGTATCCACGTATCTGTGGTGTCTTCCACGAACAAAAAAAGAAATTAACACATTACATGAAGCAAATTGTTGTGTTTGTTAAAAGTTAAAACCAAAGATTTCTGAATTAATCTGTAAGCAAACATGAATTAGATCACACACCTCATTTAGTTTCATAAAAACTCTACTACATCACGGTGATTAATTAACCCACATCTTTAAAATCTCCTCTGCGCAACAAATAAACCTTTAAAAGCGAAACCAGACGAGCGACTGACATGTTTAAACGTTCAGCTTTAGGTCAACTGTGAGGACAAATTTGACTTAAACACATCAGTTTGAGCTATTTCACAAAAAGACATCCAGTCATGCAATCCGTCACATGGCTTCAGCTGTTTAAATGCTATTTAAAAGGGAAAAATCAAACTGAGGAAATACCCTCGCGTTTACAGATGGTTCCTAAACAGAAACAGATTCATAAAATCTTTGACGGAGCAGAAATGGAAGCGCAGCTTTATTTAAACTCTGGTTACAGTTTATGTACTTTGTTCCCTCAGCATTAAAAAGACTGATGTTGCCTTTACTTTTAGAAATGATGAGAAAATGAACACTAATCCTAATAAACACGAGGAAGCTCCACGTTCATCTTTCCTCTGTCTGACATACAAAGATCAGATCGACAGCTTGTCAGATTTAGTTTATTATCTCTTAACATCTGTGAGATCATTTGTCTTCGCCCTGATGTTAGTTATATAAGTTTCTCTTTCGTACCATTCTACAAATAAAAGTTGGTGAAGTTGTCAATATATTGAGAAATCACACAGAAAGACCAAAATAATCAATGTGTTGGTCCATGCCTCTTCAGTGGTCCCCAGTGCTCCACGCTGAGGTCATAAATCTTCAGACAATAGAATATTTAATACATGTATTGTTTTATTTGTTTTAAGGTTGAATTACTTTCTTTAGGACTTTGTGGTTTCAAGTGAATGTTACTCAGTAAACGGTGCATTTGTCTTGGACTATTTTCTGTGGATGAATACAGAGTTGGAGCTTTTGTGACTATACTTGGAGGCAGGATGGAGCCCTCAAAATATGTTGTTTGTTCCTGCCCTGACACATGGAAGCCTTTTCTGATCCTGGGGGTAAATAGATTGTTGAGGGTAACTGAGATTGACTGAGATTGTGAAACAGCATTTTTTTCTGATCCTGATACAAAAATAAGTGATGAGTTGGAAAGAGGGAATTAACTTCAGTTGTTTTATTGACCTCCTCGCTGTGAGGACGTCTTCCTCCTTCGCCAGGGGGGACAAGCGTCATACTTCCTGCAGCCACTAGAGGAGTCGGGTTCTTACTAAAGCGACTGATGCTGTGATGTTTTTTCGTGAGAACGGTCTTGACGGTGTGTGTGGTATTAAGACTGATGTGTATTTAATAGTTTAACAGTGCGGCTCTGTGGCTCAAGCTTTGGCTGCACAACAACAACAACACTCGGGTAATTGTTGGTTTTGGTCTTTTCGACATTGAGAAAAATATAGAATATCACCTGGCTTATCCTTTAAATGAATCTATAAGAATGTCCTTCCAGCACCATAAATTATAAATAACGACTCTACCAGGGTGGACTGGTGTTTACAGCCTGGATAACACCTGTCTCATGTGAGACTGGACGTTACGAGCTGGTAAATGGGGCTGAATTCATTAACAAACACTGACCACATTCATGTGAGATATTCATTTTCCATTGCAACACCAGGAATGACTTAATTTACATGTCTTGGCCTCAGTGCTTTATGAAAATGACATGATGTTTTTCACGCAGGTCAACTGTGACTAACGACTATTTACTTTGTGTTGGTGTAGATTTAATCTTATTAATCTATCAGCAGGACACGGTTGTATATTTACAAGCTGGCTGCAGATTATGTCATTTTTAATGAACTAATCCTTTTAAAGAGGAAGCGTGTTCCTGCAAGAGTGAAAACTCTGTGAATTAATAATTAATCAGAGTTCCAGGTCGACAGCAGCGGAGTCAGAGAGAGTCACTCGCTCTCGGGGGACAGCGATTTGGCACCAAACCGAACGGCATCATGGGACAGATGTATTCAAGTGTTAAATGAGTCATGAGAAGTGAAGCAGGGTGAGGCTGTGCTGCAGTCGTGATGGATTATGCAGAAACATCACAGTGAGACCTAACAATGTTTGATTTATCTTTGTGCACAGGACGATCAGCTGATGCTTCGAGTCTGAGCGCTACAAACACTTCTTCCATTCATTCAGCGCTGCCACACTTCTTCCTCCACCACGCATGAGTAAGGGAAACCTGTCGCGAGTAGAGGAAACCGTTTGATCGTCTCGCCGGCTGCTCGGTCTGAGGCAAGTCGAGAAAGTTGGAAAGAGGAGATGTGTTTTGACTGAATGAAAATGGTGCTGAGCCCGGCAGTTTGATTCCTGCATGCTTTGGATGAATTTGGTTTAATGAGACTGAAAATCTCTTCCTCAAATTTCTGCTGAGTCTGAATTTAAGAGGAATCGCTTCTTTCTTGCATTTTGCATCTGTGGGCAGAAATATCTCTGATCTTGAGAAAAACCCATCCCTGACTCGATTAAATGAAAAGCTGCTCTAGACAACAAAAACCAGAACTTTCTGAATATCGATAGATTAATTGGTGCTAGACTGTATTAGAATTTAAATATAATTTTCACAATAAAGGTCAACAATTCAAACTCAAAATAAACAACACCTGAATTTAATTTACTGACATTTCACAATAATCCGCATTTCGACCTGTGTCTTTCCCAAAAATCTGTCTGTTTGCAGAGAAAGGCCAAAACTTTACGGATGTTTTGACGGACCACTGACACGATAAGAGAGAGAGAGAGAGAGACAGTGTCGACTCACTCACCATGCACTTATTGGGTTTTTCTCCAGAATGAACCCTCATGTGGATGAGCAGCTTGTAGCGAGCGTTGAATGGTTTGTGGCGCCGCACACAGCCGGCCCAGAAACACGCAAACTCCTCCCCTTTACGCTGGTCGATGTGAACCTTCTCGATGTGCCTCACCAGCTCCTCCTGGCTGCTGTGAGTGGCGCTGCAGTCGATCCAGTGACACAGCTGCTCCTGTTGGTCCACCGCAGGGTTCCCTCCTACGGGTGCGTTAAGCTTCGGAGAGTGCAGAGGCGTGTGGGTGCCGTCCTGACCGCCGTCGTGGCAGTCCAGGGGCTGGCCAACATGAAACAGCTCCCCCTGCTGGTTGTTCATTTGAAACGATTCCCTCTTACACGGCAAGAAATCGTCTGCAGGCTCCTGTTTGATGGAGAGATACTCGTCTTGTACTTTTCGTTGTTGCTGAGACGTTTTGTTGTTGGCATCAGAAAGAGGCGAGGAAGAGGCAAAAAATAAAGACGATGAGGAGGAGGTGGAGGAAACAGAGGATGAGGGGGAGCAGAACGTGGGAGACGAGGCACAGCCGGTGAGCATGTAGGACAAAGGGAGGGAGGGTTGAGGGTAACAAACGAACCTCTGGGTGTTTTTAGGGTCCTCCACAGACTTTTCTATGTGGGATCCATTTGTCTTACAGCTGAGTAAGGAGGTGAGGTCTCTCCCCAGGGAGGACAGGGACAGGGACGTCCTGGGCAGACAGCACAGACCACCCGAATGCATCGACGACTGACAGAAGCCACCTGAAGACAGCGGTGCCTGGAGGTCCTCGGCATCTTCGAACACGCTCCCAAAACCAGGGAGTGTCATCTGGACGTCTGGAGGCCCGAGGTCGGGGGGCCACATCCTGGCCCCCTGCGCTCTGACTCCCACCAAGAGATCCCCTCAGTAAAACCTTTGCTATTAATTGTCTCGGAGCAACTTTAGGAATCCATTAGAGTTAAACCCGTCCACAGCATCTTTCACTGCTTAACTGTAATCGAATCAGATGAATCTCCAGCTGCTGGCGTCATGTGTAATCTTCAGTCATTTGTTCCAAACTGCTGCGTGGTCACTCATCATCCCTCGTGCTCTGTGGGAGACACAAACCAAAACCCAATGAGTCACCTTCAAAGACAACACGCACAAATACAAAACACTCACATCGCATCAACTCTGTGACGTACGTCGAGTGTTGGGAGGTTCCCTGTCAGTGTTGTTTCTATTAAGTCATTATTATTATAGGCTAGTTTATCATGATTGCAGGCATTGTTGTAAACTTGGTGCATTTATTGCTTCATTTGCCAACTCTTCAGACCCCTAACGACAAATCTACAAACCTTCAGCTACTTTCTGCAGAAGAGAATTACCAGATCTGTATAACCGACAAAATCAGGAAGATATTCAGCCACTGACTCTTTTGTTGAATGATCATTTTGCATCTAAATTAAAACTGATTTTAGAGCAACAACAGTCTCTATTTCAAACTTGATGCACTGTTGTTACTCAAGAAATAGAAAAATATCTCAATAAGAAAAGCTCTATTGGGAATTTGGCAGTTTTGAATATTGTTAGGACAGAGTACAAGAAGTGAAGGAAAGGTCAGTTGACACAACACTGAATGAAAATAGGATTCAATGACACAACAATACGCTTATTAGCTTTTTGCAACAGTTTCAGGTTTAAACGTATGAAGCTTGGGGGCTTCACCTTATCAGCAGGAATCAGGAGTAAGTCCTAACTCCTCACCCCTGAGTTTTTCTGTTTTTCCTTCTTGTAGTTCTTCAGACTGAACTGAAACTGACTCAGGTGACGTATTTCGCACAGCTTCCTCTGGAGGCACAATAGATTAACACAACTGTTTTCACATATTCAGTGTTGCTCCTCTGGTGTGTAAAATGTATTAATCCTCCCAGTAATTGAATAAATTCCTTCCCACGCTGCCTGTGAGGCTACTCTCTGCTGAACCGACTCAGGATTTATTGTGATGTTGCAGAACTCTGACTCAGCTGTTGTGACAACTCGCCATGCTGTTTCCACGAGGTGAAACACAAAACCCCCCCAAAAAATGTCACCCTGTGCATTACTCCCTCATTCCCCTCCCCCCCTCTGCAACACTAGGGGTAAATCGTCAACAACATACAGAGCGAGGGATGTTTTTTGGACGAAGTAACGCCCAAACAAACAGCGTGTCCGACCCCGTGTCAGCAGGCTTCAATCAAACATCTCGGAGTGCGACGCTGCAGCGAGTGTATATTTGGTTTCCTCTGAGCTGCTGTGACAGCCGGTGCTGATCCATGGCTGCAGGCATGGAGGCCACCCCTGCAGCAAACAGCCGGGCGTTGTGCGGCGGCCCATCGGCTGAAACCTGGTCCAGATGCTTGTTAGCAGAGGACGAGTAATGGACCACATCTCTCCGCTTGCAAGTGATGCAGGACAGGGAGGCTGGAAAACGGCGGGTCCAACAGAAGTCCGCCCCCGCCGACCCTGTCACACATACAGTAGCTCTACTGTGCTCGAGTCCTTGAGTGTTTATTGGAGGAGACTCGATGCCATCCGCCAGATATTGATGATCTAATTTACAGCAGCATCTCTGCCAAGTGTAATTAGTCATCGGAAAGATTCAATGGGATTTTTGTGCGCGCAGATATTTTACGAGTCAGAAACCAACACGGCTACGAGGATGAGTAAGTTCTCTTCCGTAGTTATATTAGCTGACGAAGGACTCACTAAGTGTAGGTTCAGGCCCATAGTTTCCTGGTATAGTCTGGTTTAGAGTTTTATGATCCTTCCAGTAAGTCGCTGGAAGTCCCCCCCACCCCCCAACGGAGTCATGGGAACTGTGGTCAAATCTTAATTAGAGAGGCTGCGATGTGTCTGTGTGTCAACGGGTTGAGAAGGATTAACGATACATGTGGTTTGGTGTGTTTTAAATGTGATGATTGAAACCAAGTACCTGTTGGCTTTGAGAGTTTAAACCAATATTAGAGTTTTGAGGGCAAACTGTGGGATTTCAGATGCAAACAAAACATCAGATCCACTCTAATGTGAGACTCGATCTGATGAAGCATCTAGTTAATCCCTGTTTTCTCTAAACACTCAGTCACACTCTGCATGTAAACAACATAAATCCAGCGAAGCGAAATCCAGCAACAAAAATAGCAACAACAAAAAAAAAAAGGGATTTGTTTTTAGCAGTGTCTGTTCACAAACCGCTTTGGTGATTTTCCAAAAAGAAGAGTCAGACAGTTAAAACTAAGAAAAGTGTCCCACAAAGCCTCAACTCAGCCAGAAAACTTTATAAAAGAGCAGGATCATCTCATGTGGTGTCTTTTAAAGACTCACTTGCTGAGGTTAGCTAAACACAGCTGTGGCGTCTCAGGACAAGCAAATGTGTAGTTGTCTCAACAATAAGCACTTTGGTTCTTGAATTGCAAACTTTTTTTTGTGCTTTTTGGTTGAACTGAAACATGGGAAACAGATTGAACAGAGGAGCCGTGAACACGCAGTGTCCTCGTCCTATTCTTCCTCAATAATCCTGGCTGTTACAGAGGCGTCAGGGAGGATTTACAGGAAACGCTGAATTTGCGTTAATACGGGAAAATGTTCGATTCTGTCATTATCTATTTACTGCTTTTAACTTACACTGTACAGAGGAATTTGAAGCTTCAGTCATGCAAAGATAGAGTCTCACTGTTTTGTTTTGTGGACCACAGAAGCTTTGGTTCATCAGGTGCATGTGAACGACCACTTGTGCTTTTTTATTACGAGTACAAGCAAATGTTATGTGTTTTTTTAACTGCAGCAACAAATCGATATCTAATATTGACAATAAATCAACTGTGCTTGTAAAACCTGTGCAAAATGCTCATGTTCTGGTTCATAACTTTAAATTGTGAGAGCCAAGAATCAACGTATACATGTAGTATGTGAGTGTAGATGTAGTATGCTTGAATACATGTGCGTATAATGTTGCGGATGGACTTTACGTCCTCTCAGTGTTTTTATTTGATTTCCATTCTTTTCAGTTCTGCTGATGTCTTTATCGTTGGACTCTTGCTGGAGTGGCGATAAAAAGATTGGGCAACGTGCGCATTAAAAAGTGTTTTTATTTTCCTGTGGTTTTCACAGTGTCCAGTGAGAAAAGAGAGAACGAAAGACTGAAATAAATCTTCAGCAACATCTGTGCGAAGCGTGGCCGCCATCTCATCTGACCTGTGTCTTTAGAAAAGAGATGAAGCTACGACGAAGAATTATCACCCCGGCAGCGGGTCCCCTGAGCTCCACCGTACTGAGCTCACTCTAAATGTGTTTCAGCTCATTATTTTGGGTTTTACAGCTCATAAGTTTTGTTTCACTCGCACTGCTGAGGGCAGCTGTTTCAGCGAACTGACCCGGATGAGCCCGCTGTCCACCAGGCGACCCACCCAGCGCAGAACGTTAGCGAACGCCCAGTGAACACAGTGGAGCATTTAGTGGCTAAAGAGCCAGATGTTTTCCTCTGGAGCTGGTGGAGACCAAAACAGAGGAAGAAATGAGAGTGTTAGTTAAATTCATCAAGCGGGCACCAACACAATTGCTATTTACAGGTCGAGGCATTGCACATTAGCTTAAATGCAATGGTGGCATGTTTCATGTCTTGTTTATTGTAGAATACACATGTTTGTGCTTGTGGACGCAGGTTGTAATCATCAAAATTAGATCACCGACCTCTATGGAATTATCATAACTCCTGCTTTTCATTATTGTTTTAAAACAGCAATCACTGTGATGTTTGAGAGAGAAAACATGTGTCATGAATTCCTGGAATTATTTTTGAAAATACACGTGGACAGTTTTCGAGTAGAAACACCCACAGGTGCAGTTTGTTTCACATGAGGACAATATGTTTGCAAGAGAATAAATGATTTGGCTGCGCACAAGAGAAAACATGTGAATTACGTAACAAGTTTCACAACTGTCGCCCGTGTTTTTATAGTAGACATGGGAGACCGGTACCATGGCAACACAGAAAGTTGGCTGAAGGTTCATAGTTTACACATCTCTCTGTTTTCAAAATGGTTCAATGCTGCGAATCCATTCTTGAGTGTGTGGATTTTAATAATAAATCAGGATTTATGCCACTTGTTGAGCTCATTTGCATTTTTTCATTCAGGGGAAATTGAATGAATAAACCTGATTGTGATTTTCCAGCAGCCGCCTGCTTTACATTCTTACAGTAACACACCTGGATATTTAGAGTATGACCACAGACTTCTGCTGGCAGATGATGTGCAGTTCAGAACCAACAGCCGCGTGTGAGGCAGAGAAGAGTGTGACTTCATTTTTCAAGCAGTCGAGAAAAACAAACCAGCGACTGAAACACTGAAACACTGATTCTCTCAGGTTTAACTGCTGTAACCTCCAACCTCTTCACAAAGCCTCTCAATATTCTCCACCGTCCAGCTGTTATTCCCTGAGAGTAACTTTAAACACTTATTCTGAATTTCAGGGTTAAGAAGCCAACCGTTAACTGAAATGTCTCTTCAGTTATCTCCCATCAGCAATAACATTTTATAAGGCCCCCAGTCTCTCGCTTACATCAGTGATAAAACTTCAAAAAACACTTTAAAAACTGCTTGATTTTTTGAATCTGAGAAAACAGTCAAATAAACATTTTTAAATACACTTTTACATCTGGATAAAAACTAAGCATCACATGTAATCTGCCACTTTGCTGAATATCTTTGGTCTAATGAATAAGAAGAAAGTACAGAAATGCCAATAAAGAGTGAGAGAACCAGAGTCAACACCCTGACATGTTCATTTAATTATATTAATTACAATTCTTTAATACACACATTTTGTGTTCATTAATTA